TTCAGGGTTTAGGGTTTAGGGCAGATACGGCTTCAGGTTCAGGGCTTAGGGCTTTCATGTTACGGGCTGAACGCTGCCAGAGCAGGTCTCCGACTGCTAAACTTCAAACATGACAAGCCTCAAAACCCTGAAGCTTAGGGTTTGGGGTTTAGGGTTTAGGGGCCTTAAACCCTAAATCTTAGCACCCCTAATGAAGGGGCCTTAATAATTAGAATAGGGTTTTGGGGCCCTTTATAGTATAGTTATAGTAAGGAGCTGTGAAGTCTCGGTGCCGTCGCAGCAGTCGAGGCGAGGTGCCCGACGAAATCGCCCCCTCAGACATGCCCCTGTTAAACCCCAAACCCTAAACCCTAAACCCTAAGCCCTAAACCCCAAGCCCTAAACCCTAAACCCTAAACCCCAAACCCTAAACCCTAAACCCCAATCCCTTGGCCCTACCAAACCCTAAACCCTAAACCGAAAGTCGAAGCTCTGAGCCCCAAAGCCCTAAACCCCCAACCCGAAGCTCCACCCTCCTAAACCCTAGACTTGAAAGCGCTCTTGGAGGAGGAGGGGCTTTCGTAGGTCGATGAGAAATAGAGCTGTAACTCCTTGAACCAAGGTATTCCTTCGGATTTCAAATTAGAGCTCCAGCACATCCCCGGCTCAACAAAACAACGTTAGTTCATCCAACCTACTTCAATTTAGGCCCCTACTCTGCAAATCACGGTACAACGCCCTATTCGAATTCTACTTTCGCAGAGCGTGCCCCAGAAATTTCCCCCGCTGTCCCAACATGCATACTGGTGCCCTAAACCCTAAACCCTCAACCCTAAACCCCTAAACCCCTAAACCCCAAATAAACCCTTGGTGTGCAATATTCGAAGGAGCAGAGTCAGGGCCTGTATCATTTCTTTAGCATGCGGTTTCTAGGACTTTGCAATATGGGTAGTTCTCTAAATTAGGGTCCCTGTTTGCGGGTCCTTCTTATAGGGGTGCCATACTGTATTGGGACCTAAAAAGGGACCCTAGTTTGGAGAACTAGCCATATATGTAGAATGTCTTTGTTGGCAAAAACGATACGGGTAGAGTGCCTAGTACCTTCGGACTCTGGCTGCTGCCACAGAGTTTTTGGACGGGTAGAGTTAGATCGGTGTCAACCTTAAGGACGCGAAGAGCCCTAAAAGGGTTTAGGGTTCATATACCATGTAGGGCTTCGTAGTATCAGGGAATAGGGCCCCTACTTTTAAGGTTCTTTTCGTCCTTAAGGAAGTTCACAAGTCCTGTGCGCAAACCTAAACAGTCTCTGGTGTAGATCTTGAAGGAAGTGGCATTGGAAAGCATGCGGCTCAATGTGACATTGGCGTTTAGGGCATGAGGGTTGAGACGCTGAGGACATATCAGGTTTTCAGAATTTCTGGGTTCTTGTATTTTTGTTCAAGGGCCCATAACAGCTGTTCCGATTTAAGAATAGCATTCCACCACCCTAAACCCAAACGCCCAGCGAAGAGGCGCTGTGGCACTGGTCGGGGCAGCTGGAGTGAACCTCACCAGCTGCTTCTTCGCCCTTCTGGTGTCTGTGGCGCCTGCGGACCCTCGGGGGAAATACGAAGCGTTTAGGGTTTAGGGTTTAGGGGGGAGACAATATAGGGCCTATATGATTCCCAACACTATTGTGATGGTTCCTGCGTGTAATTGTAGTATAATCTATCCTTCCGGGTTGCTCTGATTCTGCCGTCTCATGTAGGGGCCTAAAGAATTACCTATAGTATGTTGGTAGGTCCTTTTTTATAGTTATAGTAGAATGGGCCCCAAAACCCTCTTCTAATTATTGAGGCCCTTTTACTATGCTAAACCCTAAACCCCTAAACCCTAAACCCTAAACCCTAAACCCTAAACCCTAAACCCCATGAACCTACAATCCCTGTGATGCGCATGAGAAAAGCCCTGCGGACGTCGGCGGCAACCCCTTTCACTGCACCATACAGAAAGCAGCTGATCTCCTTCCCGAATACCCTAAACCCTAAACCCTAGACCCTAAACCCTAAACCCTAAACCCTAAACCACCTATTGGGAATATACTTCAAGGAGACAGGATATAATCTATTCCTTACCATAGAGTCTGTAGTCTATAGAGGTCACCGAGGTCGCAGTAATTCAAAACATTATGCCAGCATGGTCCCTGTACAGCTAAAGCAACTACAACATATGCATATATCGTAAACTCCAGTCTACTTGGTAAGGCCCTATACACTACGAAGCGCCACCCTAAACCCTGAAGGCAACCCTAAACCCCGAACCCTAAACACCCTCAACCCCAAGCTCTAGACCCTCAACCCCCAACCCTAAACCCTAAACCCTAATTCCTAATCCGTAAACCCCAAACCCTAAACCCCTAAACCCCTAAACCTTAAACCCCTAGACCCCAAACCCCTAAACCCCTAAACCCCAAATCTTAAACCCCCAAACCCCAAACCCCTAAGCCCCTAAACCCCAAACCCTAAACCCTAAACCCCTTAGCCCCAAACCCCAAAACCCTAAACCACTAAA